AGTACAGTTCAGTGGTATTACGTACATTCACATTGTGCAACCATCATCACCATCCACCGACAGAACACTTTCATCTTGCAAAACGAAAACTCTTTATGCAATAGACAGTAACTGCTCATGCCCCCCACCCCCTAACCCTTAGCAGCCACCATTCAACTCTGTCTCTATGATTTTGATTACTCTAAGTACCTTATAGGAGTAGAATCATACAGTATTTGACAGCATTTGTCTTTTTGTGATTGGCTTACTTCACATAGCATAATGTCTTCCAGGCTCATCTATGTTGTAGCCTGCATCAGCATTTTCTTCCTTTTTAAGGCTGAATAGTATTCATTATCCTTGACCAATAGATTCCAAGACCCCCCAAGTAGATGACTGAAACCTCGGTTAGTATTGAAATCCTATATATACTCTACTATGTCTTCTTCTGTACGTACATATCAACAATAATGTTTAATTTATAAATTAGGCACAATAAGAGATTAACAACAGTAATAATAAAATAGATCAATTATAATAACATACTGTAATAAAAGATGTGTGAATGTGGTCTCTCTAAAAATATCTTATTGTACTACTGTAGTATACCACAGGTAACTGAAACTGCAGAAGGAGAAACAGCGGCTAAGGGGGGACAACCATATGTATATACTGCATTTTGCTTACCCATTCATCTGTTGATGGACACAGGTTGTTTCCACCTTTTGAATAGGGTGAATAATGCTTCCATGAACATAGGTGTACAAATATCTCTTCATATCTCTGCTTTCATGACTTAGGACACTTTTGAAGTTATTTTTTGTTTTAAAATGAAGGCTTATAGAACACAAAAGATATAGATAGATAGATACATAGAGATATATATATATTCTGCAAGTATCCATGTATTTCTTTGAAAACTTATTCAAAGAGTGGTAGCTATTTGATAGTTCTCGGTAAGTTGAAAAACCTCATCAAAGAAAATATTAATACTATTTGTACACTAAACCCTGGATGGCTTTTCTTTGTCCGAATTCCTGTGTTTAATTCATGAGGCTCCTTTGGTCCTCTTATCTTCCTTGTAGAACTTCTTCATGGAAGATGCAGGTGCAGGCATGTGGTGAGTGGACAGTAGATCCCTACTGAATTTCAGGCCCTCCAGCCTGTGTTCTCTTGCTTGAAAGGTTTGTTTTCACACATGGCCCCAAGAGGGCAATCTCAGAGTATAGTCTCATTCTTTTTTAAAAAGATTTCTCAACTTTATTTTTTAGGGCAGTTTTAGGTTCACAGCAAAATTGAGCAAAATGTACAGAACCTTCCCCTGTATGCCGTGCCTCTACACATGCATAGCCTCCCCCACTGTCAACATCCTGCCCCAGAGTGGTACATTTGTTATAACCAATGAACCTACATTGACACATCATTACCACCCAAAGACAATAGTTTACTTTAGGGTTCAAACTTGGTGGTGTACATTTTATGGGTTTTGACAAATGTATACCAACATGTACCCACTATTATAGAATCATACAGAGTAGTTTCACTGTCCTAAAAATACTCTGTGCTCTGCCTATTCATCCCTCCTCTCCTCCTAACTTTTGACAACCACGGATCTTTTTACCATCTCCATAGCTTTGCGTTTTCCAAAATGTCATTTAGTTGAGATCATGCAGTATGTGGCCTTTTCAGATTGGCTTCTTTCATTTAGTAATATGCATTTAAAGTTCCTCCATGTCTTTTCATGGCTTGATAGCTTCTTTATTTTTAGTGCTGAGTAATATTCTATTATCTGGATGTACCATAGTTTATCCATTCACCTACTGAAGGACATCTTGGTTGCTTCAACATTTTGGCAATTTTGAATAAAGCTGCTAAAACATCTGTGTGTATGTTTTTGTGTGAATATAAATTTTAGCTTCTTTGGGTATATACCAAGGAGTGTGGTTGTGGGATCATATGGTAAAAATATGTTTAGTTTTGTAAGAAACTGCCAAACCGTCTTCCAACATGGCTATACCATTTTGCATCCCCACCACAATGAATGAAAGTTCCTCTTGTTCCTTATCTTTGCCAACATTTGGTGTTGTCAGTGTTTTTGAATTTGGCCATTCTATTAAGTGTATAGTAGTGTCTTGTTTTAATTTACATTTCCCTGATGGCACATGATGGGGGCATCTTTTCATACACTTATTTGCCAACTGTATATCTTCTGTGGTGAGGTATCTGTTAAGGCCTTTGGTCCAGTTTTTAGCTTATTTCTTATTGTTGAGTATTAAGAGTTATTTTCATGGATTTTTTTCTTATGATTACTGTTAGCATGGTGTAACTTTATTCATCCCTTTAATAATCTATATGGGGCTTTCAATTTAAGTGGGTTTCTTGTGGATATAATATAGTTGGGTCTTGTTTTTTGATCAACTCTTAAAATTACTGTCTTTTAATTGGTCTATTTAAACCATTGACATGTAAAGTGATTATTGTTACAGTTTGATTTATATCTACCATGTTTGTTACTGTTTTCTGTTTGTTGTCTTTGTTTCCATTTGTATTTTCCACTCTTTTCTGCCTTTTCAAGTTTTATCGATCATTTTATGAGTCCATTTTTCTCCTTTCTTAGCATAGTGAGTCTACTTTTTTTACTTTTTTTAGTGGTTGCCCTAGAGTTTGCAATAAGCATTTACAAGTCATCCATATCCCTTTAAATAAAAGTATTCCACTTCACAGATAGTGCAAGTACCTTAAAGTAACAAAATATTTCTAATTCCTCCCTCCTGTCCTTTTTATTATTATTGTCATTCATTTCATTTATATATAAGCTTATATATACACACCACTTGACTTTTCCTCATATCAGATTTTCTTCTCTCTTTTCTTCCTCCCTATTTTAGCCACAGACTTACTATTTTTATCTATTTGTTTTCTATATTCAAGTCTTGAGTTCGGGGCTTTACTTGTCTCAGTCTATGCCTCCTCCCATCTAACACACACTTTCTCAGCCCTTTCACTTTGTTTATCCTCATTATGGAAAAAAAAGCAAAAGCTTAAAATGAATACATTTCCTTCCAGTAACCAGGGGCCTTCCAGAGTTGGGAAATTGTTACCTATTAGAGTGAAATGTTAATAAAACCTCCAAAGTAAATATTTTAGTAGTTCGCTAAAGAAAGAACCACAAATACTGTGTGGAAGACAATTTAGAATGAGGTTCAAAGAGCTCAATACAAAAACCTGTTTGACCTGTTAGAACAGGTGTGGAAAATCACAATTCTTTATTCAAAGATATAGTGAAAAAAATGTAAATGCAAGATAAATATATTGGAGCATGAGAACTTCAAATCAATAATTTGGAAAATATAAGCT